CTGGGACTGTCATAGTGTTAAGGGCCTGGATGGGAAGGAATTTGTTAAGTGTGCACAAGAAAATTTTCTTACTGAATATATGGATATACTACTAGAGAAGGATCAATATTTGACCTTCTGTTGGGAAATAAAGCAGGGCAAGTTACAGAGGTGACAGTGGGGGAGAATTTTGGGGCAAGTGATCATAATTCTATTTGTTTTAAAACAGTTATTGAAAAGGACAGAACTGATCAAAAAGTCAAACTTCTAAATTGGATTAAGGCCAGTTTTGAGCTATTAGACAGGAACTTTCAAAAATTGACTGGTGGAGGCTATTCGCAGATAAAGGGATGGTTGAAAAGTGGGTGGCCTTTAAAATTGAGATAACAAATGTTCAAAGACCATATGTTCCTGTTAGGGTGAAGGGCAAAGCTGGTAAGTATAGGGAATACTGTATGACTACAGAAATTGAAGCTCTGGTCAAGAAAAAGGAGGCATATATAATCAGTTATCGAGTCAATCCCTAGAGGAGTATAAGAGCAGTGGGAATATACTTAACAGTGAAATCAGGAGGGCAAAAAGGGTACTTGAGATAGCATTGGCAAATAGAGTTAACGAGAATCCAAAGAGATTCTCCAAGTACATTAGGGGTGACATAGTAAATAGAGAGAGAAAAGGGCCCCTTAAGGATCACCATGGCCATCTATGTGTGAAACCACAGGAGATGGGTGAAATAATAAACAAATATTTCAAGTTAGTATTTACTGTTGAGAAGGGCACAGAAGCTACGGCATTTGGGAAAATAAGTAGTGATAGTTTGAAAAGATTTCATATTACAAAAGAGGAGGTGCTAGAGGTCTTAAAACATCGAAAGGTATAAATCCGGAGGACCTGATCAAGTGTTTCCCAGAACCTTGTGGGAAGCTAGGGAAGAGATTGCTGGGCCCCTTGCAGAGATATTTCTATCATTAACAGCCACGGGTGAGGTGCGAGAAGACTGGAGGTTGGCTATGTAGTGCCACTTTTTTAAAAATGCTGTAAGGAAAAGCCAGGGAACTAGACACTGGTGAACCTGATGTCAGTGGTGGGTAAGTTGTTGGTGGGGATTCTGAGTGACAGGATTTACATGTATTTGGAAAGGCAAGGACTGATTAAGAATAGTCAACATGGCTTTGTGCATGGGAAATCTTGTCTCACTAGCTTGATTGAGTTTTATTTTTGAAGAGATGACAAAAACAATTGAAGAAGGCAGAGCGGTAGGCATTGTCTGTATGGATTTCAGCAAAGCATTCGACAAGATTCCACATGGTAGACTGGTTAGTAAGACTGGATCACATGGGATCCAGGGTGAACTAGCCAAATGAATGCAAAGTTGGCTTGAAGGCAGGAGACAGATGGTGATGGTACAGCGCTACTATTCATACTGGAGGCCTGTGACCAGCAGTGTGCCATAAGGATCGGTGCTGGGTCCGCTGCTTTTCATTGTTTATATAAATGGTTTGGACATGTAAGAGGCATGGTTAGTAAATTTGCTGATGACTCCAAAAAAAAAAAAAAAAGGGTGTAGTCGTCAGTAAAGATTATCTCAGAGTACAACAGAACCTTGATCAGTTGGGCCAATGGGCCGTAGAGTGGCAGATGTGGAACAAAAAATAAATCAGTGCATAGAAAAGGCATGTAAGAAAGGCACTATCACAATAATTATGGGGGACTTCAGTATGCAGGTGGACTGCGAAAATCACATTGGTAGCGGATGCCAAGAAAAGGAATTTGTCTATGAGATGTTTTCTTTAGAGCAGCTTGTGGTAGAGCCCACTAGGGAATTGGCAATTCTGGATTTAGTGATGTGCAATGAGGCAAACTTAATTAGGAAGCTTATGGTGAAGGAACCCTAGGGGGCAGTGACCATAGTATGAGAGAATTCACCCTGCAGTTTGATACAGAAGCTTGTCTAAGATGTAATAGTATTACAATTGAGTGAAAGTAATGGGAAGACGGTGGAGCAGAAATGGCAGGGGTTTCTGGGGGTAATTTGGGAAGCACAGCAGAAATTCATCCCAAAACAGTCAAAACATTCTAAGGGGAGGACGGGGCAACCACAGCTGGGAAGGGAAGTCAGGCACAGCGTAAAAGTAAAAGGAAAATCATACAATGCGGTGAAGACTAGTGGGAAGGCAGAGAATTGGGAAACCTTTAAAAACCAGTAGAGGAAAACTTAGGAAGAATAAGGGGGGAAAAGGATGAAAAATAGCTAGTGACTCAGAATTCCACAGGAGTCAGTGCTGGGACCAAAATTATTCATATTAAACATGAAATGTTCTGGACAAAGGAATTGCAGATGGTACAAAGATAGATGGAGGGATAAGTGGAGGTACAGGTAGCGTAGAAGAGGCAGGGAGGCTGCAGAAGGAATTGGGCAGGCAAGGAGAGTGGGCAAAAATGTGACAGATGGAATACAATCATCTGGGAAAGTATGAGGCTATGCACCTTAGTAGGAAGAATAGAGGCATGGACTATTTTACAAATGGGGAAAGGCTTTGGAAATCTGAAGCACAAAGGGACTTGGGAGTCCTAGTTCAGGATTCTCTTAAGGTTAACATGCAGGTTCATTTGGCGGTTAGGAAGGCAAATGCAATGTTAGCATTCATTTCAAGAGGGCTAGAATACAAGAGTAGGGATGTACTGCTGAAGCTGTATAAGGCTTTGGTCAGAATACATTTGGAATATTGTGAGCAGTTTTGGGCCCCCTATCTCAGGAAGGATGTACTGGCCTTGTAAACTTACTCTAGACACGCCTACAAGAACAATCCCAGGGTTGAAAGAGTTGTTGTAGGAGGAGCAGTTGAAGACACTGGGTCTGTATGCGATGGAGTTTAGAAGGACAAGAGGAGGATCTCATTGGAACCTACAGAATACTGAGAGGCCTGGGTAGGGTGAAAAAGACTGGGGACCCAAGGGTACAGCTTCAGAGTGAGCAAACAATTCTTTAGATCTAAGATGAGGAAGAATTTCTGCAACCAGAGGGCATTGAATCTGTGGAACTCATTGCCACGGAAGGCTGTGAAAGCCAAGTCATTGAATGCATTTAAGACAGAGATAGAAAGGTTCTTAACTAGTAAGGAGATTAAAAGGTTCCAGGGAGAAGGCAGGAGAATGTGGTTCAGAAACATATCTGCCATGATCGAATGGCGGAGCAGATTCCATGGGCCAAATAGCCTAGTTCTCTCCTATAGTTTGTGGTCTTATGGTCAATGATCTGCTGAACCTGGATGTTAGTGTTTTGTTATTCATGCACAAAGACCTCCACATCCCTCTGTACTGCAACTTTCTGCAGTCTTTCACTATTTACATAATATTCAGCTCTTCTATTCTTCCTGCCAAAGTGTATAACATCATATTATATTCCTTCTGCCACATTTTTGCCCACTCACTTGAAGTGTATACAGATCATTATGTCATACTCATTAGTTGCTTTGACAATTATTTTAATGTTACTTCCAAACTTGGTGACAGTAAATTCATTTTCATCATTCAAGTCATCAAATACATTGTAAATAAATGGGGCAGTACTCCACCAGCTACAAGCTGCCATCCTGAAAATGCCCCCCTTATCACACTCTCTGTCTTCTATTAGTTAGCCAATTCTCTATCCATGCGGGAATTGAACTTGAAGGCAGACAGGACCTCTAACCCTGCTAGGAGGTTTCTCTCCCACCTATTCCTGGAATGTCACATGAAGGCCATGTCCAGGTACCAAACTTGGTCTCTCCCACCTGGCAGGAGAACTCTGGTCAGTTTCTTCTAAACTGACCTCAAGAGCCTCTTAATGAGCCTGACCAGCTGGCTGCCTGAGTGAAGACAGCTTACAATGCAAACTTCCATAGCCACCACAAAAAATAAGCCCAGTGGCAGGATGGAGCTGAGAAACTGACATGCCAACCAACTGGCCTATTATGAGCATTCATTCACTTCCACTCCAGGATCAAAAACTCAGCTGGAGATTGAACTGTTGGAACACCATAGATGTGCTCAATTCTGTTTTTACCAAGTCTCCACACACGCAGAGTTCTTTACATAGCTACCTAAAACTGACTCGCCACCTTATCCCCACCCAAATCCAAGGGCCATTTAAGCAAATTTCAGCTATTTTTAATGTCACCCAAAATCAGCAAACTCAACTCAAACTGGAAATCAAACTAGAGGATCTTCCTGATTTACGTGTCCCAGTTTCACAGTAGGCACTTCAGTTACCGACTAAATCATAGCTTCCTAAAAACATCTTATTTTGAGCAGCAGCAACACTCTCGGTTACCCACACAAAAAAATTATAAGGTATAGTAGAATTTTCTGTATATCCGGTGATGCAATAAGATGTGGTGTAGAGACAATACTGATAAGGCATCTCTCACATTGGTGCCTTAGTAAAACATAAAACAAATGCAAAGGCACTCAGGCCATGACATTAGATATGATTTGTTTCTGGTAAATGTCTTTTCACAAATCATTTATTGGCTTTGCACTTTCATCTTGCCAAAAAATGAAAAATATTAGATTCTTCCTGGTGGCAATTTCATCATTAAGTTATTTGATATCTTTTCATACCAACATGGAGTTAACTAGCAAATTCTTAATGTTAGAGAGTAAAACCATCAACTTGACTGTTTATTTTTATATCTCTGCAAGTGTTATTACCCACACAACGACTTTGCCACCACCAAATCACCGTGACTTTATTTTTTTGTTTTTTAAAATTATTAACCATCAGTAATCACCCATGCAGCCAATTAGAAATTTACATGCAAGCCAATTACAGCAATATGAACCATCAAAAATGAGGATGTGTAGGGACAGCAGGAAGGGGCCAGTTTGACTGATTATTGAACTGGATCAAATGAACTAACCTGGAAGTAATTGATTCTAATAAATAGCAAAGAATAGCAATCTATTCAATGTAGGGGAGCATCAAATACACACCATTTTTTAAAATGTTGAGGAAGAAAATCATGCAAAAATTGACATACCTTGGTTCATACGCTCCGATAGGAATAGCAGCAAGGTCAAATGGTCCATATCTTTTCCCTATTTGTTCAAAGGCTACACAGTAACCTGTATCTCCAGCAAAAAAAAATCTATTCCAGGGCCCCAGAACACACCAACTTCCCCACAGCACCTTGTTGTCATCTCTTACAGTACGTTTGCTCCAGTGTTGCACTGGTGTAAACACAAATGTCACCTCATCATGGCCAGGAACACAGTTCTCTTCCCACCAGTCCAACTCAATTATGTTTTCACAGCCACACTTCTGCATCCAGTCCAAGAGACCCAGTGGTACAAACCACCTCAAGTCACCCCCAAAGCGCTCATTAAGACTTAGCACTGTATTGTAATCCAAATGATCATAGTGAGTATGACTGATTACCACAGCGTCTATTTTGGGCAACTGTGCCACTGTGCATGGTGGGTTTCGAAAACGTTTTGGTCCAAAGAATTGCACAGGTGAAGCTCTTTGGCTGAAGATGGGATCTGTCAGAAAAGTCAGTCCTTCCATTTCTACCAACAGCGATGCATGTCCTAACCAGGTCACTCGAATTCCATTCCCCAAACTCCCGACCAGCTCTGGGTTTTTTACAAAGTACGGTTCTAATATTGGCAATCCTTCATCAAGTTCCTACAGGCAGACAGAAAAAGATTTTTTAAATAAATGTAATTCTGCTCTGTAGCTTGCTAGTACAAATTAGTGTCACACAGCAAATCTCAGTCAACTCAACATAATTTGACAGAAATGCAGTGCAGTAAAAGCCATAATTCTGAATGTGATTTTACATTATCTTTAGACAGGTGGACCCCTATAAATGAAGCATCTAAGTCACAAATTGAAAGTTAGGGTGATTATTATTGCTTCCTGTATATTTAGAAGCTAATTTTTCCATTCAAGTATTTACGAAACTTTCTGGCCAAAGCCCATACATGGAAATGGTGCCTGAGGAGAGCTATTTGACAATAACTCGAAGCTCTTATTCTTTTATGAATGATGGGGATCCAGGCTAGGTCTGCATTTGTTGTCCATCCTCAAATTGCCCTCAAGGAGGTGATGGTGAGCTGTCTTCTCAAACCATCGCAGTTCATGTAGTGTAGTAACACACTCCATGCGTTAGGGAGTTCCAAGATTTTGACCCAGCTACAGTGAATAAACCATGATATAGTTCCAAGTCAGGATGAAGAGAAAGTTGCCAGGCGGTAATATTCCCATGCATTTGCTATCCTTGTTCTTCTAGGTGGTAGAGGTCACAGGTTTTGAAGGTGATGTCGAGGGATCCTTGGTGAGTGCATTTGGTAAAAGGTACACATTTGTCTTGGATAATGTTGATCTCCTTAACTGTTGTTGGAGATTCACTTATCTGGGCATGTGGAATCACACTTGACTTGTGTCTTGCAGATAGTGGACAGGCTTTATGCAGTCATGAAGTGTGTTATGCATCACACAATTCCCAGCCTCTGACCTGTTCTTATGGCTACTATATTTATATGGCTAGTCCAGTTTAGTTTCTGGGCAATAGGAATTGCCAGGATTTAGCCAGCTCGGTCAGTAGTGGTGTTACTAGTCCACAGTTTATGTCTGTTCAAGTCCTGTTTAAGTAAACTTGGCTAGTTGCAGCAGTGCATCCTGAATGCTGTGGTGCGTACAGCAGATAATTGATATTAAGTTTAATGGCAGAGATGCTAATCAAGTAGATTGGCCCACTGTTATTGGTGTTGAACAATCTTCAGTGTGGATTGAGTTGCATATAATCAGGCAAGTGTCCATCACTTCTCACTTAAAATTTGTAGATGATGGAGGATATTTTGGGAATAAGGAAATGGGTACTCATTGCAGAGCATCCAACCTGCAAATTCTGCCTGTCCTTCCAGCCAACATTGTAAAGGGTAGTAGTATTAAAACGTCAAGGCAATAGTGAACCCCCAGCTGTTGATGAAGTACGTTCACAGTGATAGTGTTGATATTGAAGGTCATGAGTGGCGGGTTAGAATATTTTTCCTGCAAGAAATCTTATTATCTGGCAATTATAAGGCACACATGCTGTCAGCCAAAGACTGGATATTGTCCAGGTTTTCTATAGAATGACACTGGCTGCGAATGAAGCTGAACACTTATCTATTATCAGCAATTTGCTCATAATACTGATATTAAAATGAAGAAAAAGTCATCAATGAAGCTGCTAAAGTGGTTGGGTGGAAGACACTTCCTGGATAAACTTCTGAAATGAGAACCAGTGACTAAGATTGCTAAGATACCTAGAAACATTATCCTTTGTGCCAGACATACCTTCAGATACTGAAGGATGTGTCAACTTACCCCAGTTTGCACCTCAATTTTTCTAGCGGTCCACAGTGCCTTACTATTCAGTTTTTCTCCCTTTTATTTTCCTGGCAGTCTGGAATGCGAGATCCCCTCCAAGCAACATACCTGGCTTGGAACTATATCAGCATGCCTTCATATACGCTGAGCCCAATCATAAAACTACCTTCCTGACAGCACTGTGGATGAACCTACACCCTAGACACTGCAACAGTTCAAGAATAACTCTCATCACAACCTTCTGAAGGACAATTTGGGATAGGCCATAAATGCTGGGCTGGCCAGTAATGTCCACCATCCCATGAACAGAGAAACCAATTCTACATTTGGATCTATGTTTGAATCAAGATTGTTACAAAGGGCTTGGGAGCCAGGGTATTCTGACAGAAACCAAATTGACCATTGCTGAGAAGATATTAATAAATATTTTACTTGCTGGCACTGTTGATGTCTGCTTCCATCATTTTTCTGATCACCAGGTGTACAGTAGAATGGTAAATTGTCCAGGCAAGTTTTGTTGTTATGTTTGAAGACTAAATATACTTGGACAACTTTTTAATATTATAAAGCAGATGCCAGCGTAACAATTTAGACATTGGAGTGGCCAGTTCTAATATGCAAGTCTTCCTTCCTTACTAAGTAAAGCACATTCAACATGACATGATAGTGGTTTTTGAATACAATATGTTTGCTTTATATTACAATTGTTTATATATAAAGACTTTGTATTAACTCTAAATAAGCAACTGCAGAACACTTAGTTGCTTAGCCAAAGGAGAGAATAATTATTTGTACATTTTTGGAAGCTTCCTTTCATCTCTACATTTAATTTTCTTTTATATTTATTTCTTTTATCAGGCATGCAGTAGTAGTGTTCAAATTAATATGCAGACAATAGTTTGCACCTTCAACGTAGTGAAACATATCAAAACACTTCACAGGAAAGAACATTAAATGACACCGTGGCAAAGAAGGAGACATTAAGACTGATGAACAAATGTTTTTATATTGGTCTCATAAGTATCCACTAGCTTATAGTTAACTATACTGAATTACAGTTGGCATTATTTATATGATAAATTAATTCTAAATGTTTATGCCAATAACATTTCGTATTGATGCTGAAGTTTATACTTAAATGTCCAGGACGTTAGAATGTGCAGCATTCTTGCCCTTTCAGTTTTGTCTGACCTCAAATGAAATTTTCACATCTTCAGTAGTGCACATTTCTCTTCCATAACATTCCACAGAATCAATATTCTCGTCTTCTAATCTCTCGTTCATTCCTCACTGCTTTTAACCTTTTATTCTCCTTATAATCTACAAATGTTTAGAATCTGAGCATGGAAACATCTCATCTCTAGTACTGCAATGGCTTCACCTATCCTCCTAGTCTAAGTAGCATCCTATATTGTGCGTCTAAGCATTTCATCCGAGTTTCTTAATAAAAGCCAGATAAATGCAATGACAAACTTAAAACTTTATTTTAAACCTTTTATCCAAACACTGAAATTAAAGAATCACGTTTCACCAGTCCGGGTGGTGCTAAGTGCCTCAAGCATCGTCACTTCAGCACAAGAAATAAATAGACCTAATAGCGTTCTTATGTGTATTATTCCCAGTATAAACTATCCTAAAAATAAACTGTATCTTCACATGCATCTGTAAATCAGCATAGCTCAGTATATGTAGCACAGCCTTTAAAGGATGGTTTAATTTTAGGTAAACCAGCAATCCATAGACATGAATTTATAAGTAGGTTTGTGATTGCAATTGTAACAAGGAAACATTTTTTTGAAAAGAAAATTATTCAGATTCAGTTATTCACTTACTGAACAAAAAAGCTGTAAAAGGTAATATACAACTGACCAGTTTTTAAGGGTAAAGCAGTGATCCCCCTCTCACTGTTACCTCAAGCCTGTCTCCTCCCATGCCTAGCATTCTTGTCATTTTCTTTTGTTTTACATAATCTTACTGTTATTGCTTCTTTGAATTTTCTTCATTCCTCCTAAACTACATTATATTAACATAAACATAACCATGCTTCCTTCTCCCGTTATGCTTTTTCTGTTTAATTCACAACTCTGCTGTTGACTATAACTCAGTCTTTTCTGTCAAATTCCCCTATGACTCTCAATCTTCCCTTCCTGTTGCGATTTGAATTTTTTCTTCAACTCAGCTTGGCATCACCTTAATCAGTGGACTTTGATTTCACTTTCGTCTTGTGCCAGACTAGGAAAGGTGAAGAATAGATGAATCAAACCAGTTCCACTTCTTACATAGCACTAAGTTTAGAACTCCTACAGTGACATTAGGTTGCTACATAAACTAATTTATTTTTAACATTTTCACTACGAGGACTGTAACTTACACCTTGAAATGAAAACTGTATTCCATTGACAGATATTAATTATGTAATTACATAAATGACCAAAATGTTGCTTATGTTGCACACAATTGCTTCATATGATCTTTAAGTGCGGATACAATGAAAATAAAAAAAACTTACATAAATAATAAAATAAACCACTGTTAAAGCTATAATCATAGGTGAACAATAAGCAGTTGAAATACTTGCAGCCCGATATTTGATCAAGCCACTCACCGCCTTAGAACTTGGGATGTTAGTATGGTCCCTCTCCATCACAGCAAACTTTAGCACATTTGTGAAAGCAAGATCGCTCCAGGTTGGCCAGGGATTGACAAATCTGCCATCTTTCCCTCTTTTGGATCTTGTTACATCTTCTTCCAAACGGTAATCCAATCTGAAGCTTTTCCTGGAGGATCGGGATGATGAGCTTCCTCTTGCCTCACGGCTTGCAATCCCTGATCGTTTCTTCACAGCTTCCTTTGGATAATGGCTGCTTGAAACAGGAACCTCTTCTTCAAGCTTTGCATCCATGTTTCCTTCTGCTCTGTAGTGTAATCTAAAGAAATGCAGTTACATAATAATCACTAAGAACATAAATCAAGACTTTTCAAACTTCTATAAACATATATTCAAATGTCTGCAAAGTAGAAAATCCCAGTTCACATTTCTCTAATTATGTTATCCAAATAAGGATTTAATGTTAATTGTCACTTTCATTTTTTTTTGTGTAGTTCCAGCTGAGGATTGATGTTAAATAAATTAGTCCTATTGGTTCACTAATAATGCCAAACGATGCTAATACCCTCTTGGCCAGAAAATCATGTAACAACTTCAAAGAATGCACCTTGCAACCTGGTGCATAATAACAAAACCAGAGCAAAAGCTGTATTTTCAAAGTAATCACATGATCTAGCATCTCAGTGGAAGCTGGGATTTAGGCAAATTGGCAATATAACTCAATTCAGTAGTTGCGCATCACATTCCGCTAATACTGATCGACCACCAATAATAGCACTTTAAATGACACTGCGGTAAGCTTACTCGGCATCTCCGGTTTACAACAGTGTAGATCAAGAACGACCCACAGTTACTTGATCAACCGGTCAATTTTCCCGAATAACAACCTATTAATTTGCCCGTTACCAAATGTAATACTGAGATAGCCTCAGCACCATTATCGAGCAGATCTCCCATGAACAGGCTCTCTCCTCAACTACTGTCCCGGTGCGAAATCACGTTTTATGTAACCTTTATACCATTACAACGTGAAGCTTTAAAATACATACACAAACTTTGTGATTGGTAAAACAAAGCTCGTGGGCTGTTACTGTTAAAACGGTACCCAGCTAACTATCACGGTACACATTTAACCCCGCCAAACATTAATAATAGCGTTAAAGTTTGTCGCAAGGGTTTGGAATAGTTTCTTAGCTTACGTCGTTGCATTTAGACAAAATAGAACTGTTAATTCCAAAAGCAGCAGAGAAGCGAGGGCAGAACACAGAAAAGAAAGGGAAAACATTGTGGACCTTGCTGGATGTTAACGATGAATTCGAAATGATCCAGGAGGCAGCGCCGCAGTCTCTGACTTTATGCTCTCAATGTAGATGTTCCCCCCACCCCACCTCACCTCACCCCACCCCACCTTTGTTGTTCCCGCCTGCAGATGATGTGACAAGAAGAACAAGTCAGGGCTCTGAGCTCAGCCTCTGCCCAGTTTCAACACGTGATCGCCTTATTATCACTGCAATCCAACCATTCAGCTCCTGAGTGAAATTGCTGAGAAGTGCACTGTCAGAGGCACAAAGGGAGATTCTTTCTGGATCTAACAACCTCCATTAAAATAAACAACGGCACCAAATATTTGCCACCCAAACGACACGCTATCATTCGCTTCCAGGACTGTATAAAAAAAAGCTTTAAATCAGCAATAACAAAACGACCAAGGGTTTCCTTTTTTGAGCTGTGAGATTCTGCAGCTGTAATTTGACATTTTAAGAGCTGTGCTCACTTTTCTGAAACAAGAGTAAAGTTGGTTTACAACCCGTTTGCAAGTTACATTTTCGCGTACGGTGGGTCAGACTAACCTGGATCGGATATTGCAAAAGCGTCTTTGAAGATTTGAGAGGAATTTAATAAGAAAAATTTATGAGTTTTTGATTTTATTTGTAAACGTACGATTATTGTTGGTTGCGTTCTACATAAAATGAATTTGTAACAAATACAATTAAAAACTGAAAACTAAAGTAGAATCTCACAATTAGGACGACTGGAAACACTATATTTCAAACCTCCCCAGGAATATAGGGAATGTCTTAACTCCCGGCCCTAGTTTTTTTTTTGTTTTCCGGAGATTGCCTGATTTAGCCTCCCCCTCCCCCTTCTCCGCACCTCAACAGCCACACGAGTAAAACCAATGGAAAGGAAGTGATTCGACCAAGTTTCAAAAACACAAGGTCCGATTGGAAGACAAACTTTCTCTAATGATTCTTCAAGACAACGTGGTAGTCGGTTGCCTCCTGTTGCCGGTCAGACAAACCTGAATTACAATAACTTCCTTTGCTGAAACTCCTCCCAAAACGGTGCACACGGTATCAGCACTGTCACCAAAATCTAGGGCTGATTAAGTCGCCCAGGACAAAGAAAAAAACATGTTGCAAATTTACAGTACTGGAAACGCATCTAAAAGTTGCAACAAAAAGATACAAAGAAAATCTGTTTCGCAATTCAAGATACGGTATCCTGCGGTACTTTTGAATCAACTTGTCCTGTTTCTGTTAATCGATTCGGCTGAGTCTGTTGCTAATAAAAATGACAGAATTAGATAATTTCTGGAACTAAAAAAAAGACAACATTTAGGGTGAAACTTGACAACAGCCATAAAATATGAACCCAACCAATTAAAAGGAGCGGTTAGAGATTCACCTGGGAAGAAAGCAGGATTTTGCCTTTACTAGTTCGCCTCCTGGCTCACTCTGGTCGCACTTCACGTTTCTGTCGATGAAACTCGCCAATTTCGTCGCTGCTGTGACACAGGCAGCCGAGAGAGGCCGACAGATCGCGAGGCACGTAATCCCAGTCCTCTCTGTCAGCATCGCCTCTCAGACAAGCATCAACATGCTATCCAGATCCAGTTTAAAGTAAATTATACTAACTTCAGAACGACTAACTGCACGTCAAGTAAAAACGATCCCCACACATTTCCCAGGATCAAATCTCACGTCCTCGACATGCACGCACCCGGAAACCACAAGCCACTTGTGCGGCACCAAACTGTTCCCGGAATAAGGAAAGGACACCACAAAGTCGGTGTCAGCTCCTGCCCTGCGGTTCCATTGTTTCATTTGACCAGCGGTTCGAATTCTGGACTACTAATTCGGCTAGTTTCTGTGGTGTTGAGGTTCCCTAAAGTCCAATATTCTATCTTTAAAACTATACTTTAGTTTACTATACTGATATTCCCAAGATTTGTGGAGAGTTTCCGTGTTATAGACTGTTTCCATAACGCTAGTAATTTTCTTTTAAAAATTACTTCGAACAGTGACAGTGCACATTTTGTAGTCAGGTACGTTTTGTGTTGTAAATTAACATTTAAATACGAACAATTCGGATTGGCAATAAATGCTGTTCTTGTTAGTGACTCTATAGTGTCCCAAGGACAAACAGGAAAAGTAATAAATCCAAAAATATTCAGTCCTCACACTTAATCTCTAAAGCAAAACTACGATTTCAGTGCTTAAGTCTCACACACTTGAGGTCAGGTTTGGTCACTGAAATATTGCGTTAATTGCAAATGTTTTACTTCAAATTGCATAGTTTGAATCAATATTATTATTTCATTTTATATTTTACACTTCAAAGTAATGTTCTAAATTAGAATTCAGAATTAAGAACATAATAATAATAATACAAAACATAACATTTATGGACACAGTTCTGCAGGCCAAGTTATGAGTGACAATCTAATGGTGTCTTGCATAAACTTGAGTGTATTCCACTGGTGAAGAACACAACCTATTTGCTATTCACACAAACCAAATTTACATTTGTATCGCAAATGAGTTTTTTGTTTTACACAGTAATGCAGAATCATAGAATTGTTGCAAATGAGGCTATTTTACCCATTGTTTCTCCCCAAAATTCTAACTGCTGGTCAGATTAAAAATGGCATCACAGGGAAGGAACTGTCACCTAGATGTAGTGGCCTTAAAGTTGGGGGCAGCAATAAGACCATAAGACACAAGAGCAGAAGTAGGCCATTCAATGAGATCGTGGCTGATCTCATATTCCTTAATCCACCTTACTGCTTTTTCAATATAACCCTTGATTCCCTAATTGATTTAAAATCTTTCTCAGTCTTTAATATACTTAACAACCCAACCCTCTACAGTAAAGAATTTCACAGATTCATTATTCTCTGAGAAAATAAATTCCTCCGTAATTCTGTCTCATAAATATGATGTGGAAGTGCCAATGTTGGACTGAGATGAACAAAGACAGAAGTCACACAACACCAGGTTATAGTCCAACAGGTTTATTTGAAATCACAAGCTTTCAAAACACTGCTCCTTCGTCAGGTGAAGTGAAGGAAAGTGCACACACACAAAATTTATATGCGGAGATAATGGCAAGATAATTCCACGTAATTAAGAGTGTCAAAAGATAAGTACAAATGGTGTGAGTGGAGTGTCCACAGGCTGAATAAAATGTCTTTGCAGGTGATGAAAAGTGTCAAACGGTGTGAGAAAAGTATCAACAGCTGAATAGCAAGTAAAGGGATGACCTATGTTCTGATTAATTAATACAGAAAGATAATCACAAAAAATGAAAAATAAGATGACACTATTTTCACTTATCTCTTAATTACCTGGAATTATCTTGCCATTATCTCTCTGCATATAAATTCTGTGACTGTGTGTTTCCCTTTGCTTCACCTGATGAAGGAGCAGCACTTCTTAAGCTTGTGATTTCAAATAAACCTGTTGGACTATAACCTGGTGTTGTGTTACTTCTGATTTTACCCTAAATATGTGACCACTTATTCGGAGATTATACCTGATGGTCCTATCTCTCACAAGAGGAAACAACTTTTCCACATCCAGCCAGTCAAAACTCCTAAGAATATTGTACCGTTAAATAAAGTTGCCTCTCATTCTTCCATATGCTAATAAATACAGGCCTCATTGGCTCAACCTCTCCTCATAAGACAGCCCCTCCATACTTGTTATCAGCCTAGTGAACCTTCTCTGGACTGCCTAAAATGCCAATTTATCTTTCTTTCGATAAGGGACCCAAAATCTTTTACTGTATTACCCCAGCTGTGCTCTGACTAATATCTTGTATAGTTTCAGTAAAACCTCCTTGCTTTTATCCTTTCTCTATTCCTTATGAAAGAAAGGCCAACATTCTATGTACCTTCCCTGTTACCCACTGAACATCGATGGTGGCTTTTTGTCATTCCCGAATGATTCCCAAATCTCTCCCTTCTGTCGCTTTCTGTGGTCTTTCACCATTTAATAATATTCAGCTCTTCTTTTCTTCTTGCCAAAGTACATAATCTCACATTTTCCCACATTATATTCCATCTGCCAAGTTTTTGCCCACTAGCTTAACCTAACTATATCCCTAATTGGCTATGGGGGATAGCCTAAGTCAACAATCAGAGGAGGCCTTTAGGTTTTTTTAAAAAACAGTTGTAACAATGGAAGGGGAGTGGCTAGTTTTCACAGATCAAGCTTTCTAGTTTTTTAAGCTGTAGTAGTCAGAAGCTGTTCGGGTCCCAAAAGAGTTGGAGCTTCAGTAAAATGATTCCTAGCTGCTACATTCTCTGAAATCTCTCAATGTTGTTTCCTCCTGGATTGGAGAATTGCCTGTAAGAATCTGCGTCTGAATTTACCTTTTTGCCCAGAGGTGTGATTATGGGATGTTAATATATTGGAACAGTTAATTAGTAATAGGTACTGTATCTATTACTCACTTAAGTTTTTGATTAGTTGTTATTCCAAATTCCTTGCTTTTGTTTGTATTTTAACTATAGTATTTAAATAAATTGTATTTTGCTTAATGTCAAGTGGCTTGACCAGCTGCAACACATCTGGAACACACACACTTCACACCTACTTTTAAAACAAGAAAAAGTTAGGGTCTAGGCTACCTTCTTAAAATATTTTGAAGGGGTCTGGACTGGTCCATAACACCTAGAACCAGAATATGTCCTGCACCCTCTCTGATGAATTTCCCATCTTTCCTTTTGCTTTCTATTTTTGAAAATAACGGAATTAATTCATATTTGAAATGTCAAGTAGGGGTGGCATGGTGGCTCAGTGGTTAGCACTGCTGCCTCACAACGCCAGTTCGATTCCAGCCTTGGGCGACTGTCTGTGTGGGTTTCCTCCGAGTACTCTGGTTTCCTCCCACAGTCCAAACATGTGCAGGTTAGGTGGATTGGCCATGCTAAATTGCCCGTAGTGTTCAGGGATGTGTGGATTAGGTGGGTTATAGGGGAATGTGTCTGGGTGGGATGCTGTGAGTGTCGGTGTGGACATGTTGGGCCGAAGGGCCTGTTTCCACACTATAGGGAGTCTATGGTTAATCTTCTGTGACTCTGTCGGTATACCCTATTCAGAACAATAACCAGCGGCCACAGAACGAGCAGTAGAACCGGGGCTATACCTCCATTCGGAACTCCCCCGCAGGACTGCCAATCCATCGACGCGATCGTGGATCGATTGGACCGGCCTGTGTGTGGCACCGTGCTGATGACGGAAGACACACCGCCAGGCCTGGCGCGTGCGCAGTGGTAATAGCAAGATGGCGACGTCTTTACTGCAGTTGAGTCGTGTTGCTGGATTGAGACTTTTCGGAAGGGCTTGGACCAGCTGGAAGCGACAGGTAGGTCAGGAATGAAATGACACAGCCTGTAGATTACAGCAGATCAGCACGGTTATTGGAGGCGAGACACTTTTTATTCCTGGCGATTTTGAGCTTGCTGATATCATTAATACGGAGCTGGGAAAAAACATGTGTGGGTCATGTGAAGGAGTTGTTTGGTGACGGTTTTGATGTGGGCCATGAGAATGGTTGTCAGGACCAATTAACCGTTTGGAATCGCTACCGCCAGCCGGCCAGTTATACTTTCGCCATGCGGTAATAATACTTAAAACTGAAAGTTGAAGTTTTACTTCTAATTGATGACAGATTCTTTGTTTTGATTGTTTTACGTTTCATACATAAACATATAAACGTGAAATACAAATGGGCATGCTCTCGATTATAAATCCAGATGTTGGGATCAAACTGTACTCCAGTGATTTAGATATAGGCGGATAGACCAGAGCAGTGAGGGATTGCTGTACTATGGGAGGCTCTGACTTTTGGGTGAGATGTCAGTCATTCTGAAGTGAATGAAGAAGATCCACTGACATTTTTTTGAAGATGAACAGCCGATTTCCTCTACTGTCCTGGCAAAGTATCTGATCGTTTATTTCAGTAGTGTTTGTGGCACCAGGATGTGTTGAAAGTTATTACACCTCTTAAAGTACTGAAATCATAGAATCCCTGTAGTGTGGAAGCAGGTCTAAACATTGTGTCCATACCGACCCTCTGAAGAACATCCCACCCAGACCTACCCTATCACTATAACCCTGCATTTTCCACGGCTAATCCACCTAACCTACACGTCCCTGGACACTATGAGCAATGTAGCATGGCAGATCCACCTAACCTGCACATCTTTGGACCATGGGAGGAAGCTAGAGAACCTGGGGGAAGTCCACGCAGTCTCAGGGAGAGTATGCAAACTCCACACAGGCAGTTGCTCGAGGGTAGAATCAAGCCCGGGTCCCAGATGCTGTGAGGCAGCAGTGCTAATCACTGAGCCACGGTGCTGCAATTGTATTATGAGTCTTTCTAAGGTTGTGAAGGCATTCGAGAATTGCAAGTTGTTCATCTGTAATTATTTACATTTGAATCTAATTCTTGGATGTACGTTGGCAAAAGGAAGGTACCCATGGTGGGCGGCACGGTGGCACAGTGGTTAG